CACAAGAAGAAAGCTCTGGCAGAATGAGACTCAAGGAGGAGGACAGGACAACAGACACCTATGAAGAGAAGCCAGTGTGGGAGAAATCTGCTCTCTCTTTCTAGTCCCAGTACTCCCACTCCAGCCTTTTGGATCAGTTGAAGGCTTCTCAGGGAGTTTCTTTTAGAACCACCTGATAATAATGAATTACAATAGTCCAGTCTAGAAGCAATAAATGCTTGAACTAGTTTTCACCGTTTCACTCTGAGACTTTCCAAATTTTGAAAGAAAGGCAGGAACATATCAGAAATTACTTCAGGATTCCTCACAGTGTTACTGGGGATACCATGTTTCTAAAACTTTAGGGCAGAGTACAGTAACCTCAGTTTTATCTAAACTTAGCGACATGGATAGAAAAAGCTGAGTATCATTGGCATAGCAATGAAAATGTACGATACGCCTTTTAATAATACTGCCTAAGGCACAGGTGTCAAACTCCAGGTCATTGTAATGAAATGTAATACTGGCAAATAAGAGCAGTTTCAACTAGAGATGGACCAATCCGATATTACATATCGGTATCGGTCAGATACTGACATAAATTACTGGATCGGATATCGGAGAGAAATAAAAAAAATGTAATCCGATCCATTAAATATCAAAAAAGCACCTCACAAAACTTGCGACACGGCTCCGACAGTCTCGGTCGTTGTGTCCTTGGGCAAGACACTTCACCCGTTGCCTGCTGGTGGTGGTCAGAGGGCCCGGTGGCGCCAGTGTCCGGCAGCCTCGCCTCTGTCAGTGCGCCCCAGGGCGGCTGTGGCTACAATGTAGCTGCCATCACCAGTGTGTGAATGTGTGTGTGAATGTGTGTGTGAATGGGTGGATGTGTAAAGCGCTTTGGGGTCCTTAAGGACTAGGCCATTTACCATTTAACTCGGCACATAACCGTAGCACGTCGAAGCAGTACGCGTCACGTGATAGAGCGGCTGTGGCGTGCGGGACCTGTCAGCGGTCTTCCGATTACAAGGCAAACGCCCAACTCTTGAGCCACGATGGTAAGGCTCAAAAAATGTTAATATGAATCCCAGGAAAAGGTCCTCTCTGTAATATTCTAAAATTTATTATAACTGTAACAATCTGTCAGTGTGTGCAATAAAGATCCTGGAAGTCATTTCTGCTGTGAGTCCTCTCTCTATACAATAGAGCTGTTGAAAGATGGCGAGGCAGCAGAGGGAGAAAGTGCCTCTACGCTCAGATATTGACTGATGTTCTCTGCAGTGTTAAACATAATAATCTGCTGCTGTATTTTTCCTAATACAGCATGTATTAAAAGTCAGAAATAGCTCATGGAACAGAATATTTACTTGATGTGCAGCACTCTGACAAAACTACTGAAAAGCCTTGCTGCAGAGGAGCTAAGAGAGCTCACAGCATCTGCTGTGTGTGTGTGTGTAGTAGGCACAGCAATTGGATAAATGGGTCTTATTTTCTCACTCCACTCCGCTCTACGTCTGCTGAGTCAATAAACCAAAAGACTGCAAACTGCTAGAAGAGCCAGACTTAACACACTCAGCTCTTTATTAGAGCTAGAGCTCTCTGCAGGAGTCCAAGTCAGACCCTCACAGGGAGCCTGGCACCCTGGAACCCCATCAAACAATTTTGAGACACCCCAGAGGTCTGCTGCTGATCATTCAGAATAATCACAGCTAAAGTGAAAATACCACCGGTACTGCTGTCCAAAGTAAAGATGAAACACTGATACCCGACATTTTTTTCCAAGTTAAACTAAGTATCAGAAATCTAAAGTGTTTGGAATCAGAAGGAACATTTAACACTCAAGGACTGCAAATTGTTCAAGGTTTTCGTCGGTTGAATTGATAGCAATTTGAACAAACCTGACAAAACATGCAAACAAACAAAAATGCAGCTCAAAGATGGAATTTAGTGTTCTGAAAGAGATTTATGAAGTTCACAGTGTGCCTCCAAAACAACATATTAAATCTGCTTAACGTTGTTATTTTGCTTTTCCTCCCTGTTACAATGTGCGCGCAGGGGGAGTGTAATTTATTGCCCAAATGCAGATGTTTTCCCACTGAGAAGCAACCTGATTGATCTGATAGCATCTGCCAGTTTCCAGTGAAGGCCTATGTTTAGATGAGAGCTGCTCATTGCTGAAAGGATCACCAGGGCTACACGAAGCATCAGATGTGGCAACAATGCCTGTTATGCTGTGCTCTGTTTTTGTACATTAAAATAAAGCAAAAGGGAGACATGCTGGTGACACGAGGATCAGGCAAATACAAAGCTGCAGCTGTCCACGTGAAGATCAAATGTCCATGTGAGAGAGGAAGAAACCTTTCATTGAGCAAGTGGCTTTGTCACCAGAAGAAGGAGCATCAGTCTCATTGTTCTCAAGCTTGTTACAATTTTCTGTTCTTCTACACTTTAGACAACAACTTAGGAGACGAGCACTCCACCAAAACTCTGGAAAAGGCCTGTGAGAAAGTTCTATAGCTCAGTCCTCGCTGAAATATTCCCCTTATCAGACTCCTTGAGAAGTTTTTCACAGACACTCCGTCTGAAAGGATGAAACCAACTGACTTCAGTGAGCTGTGACTTCTCTTTCAGAGTTATAATGAGCTGCAGTTGTACTGATATCTTGAGTAAACCACTGACTGGCCAGAATGACATAATGTATGTTGTTCTCAGCTGACTGCAGGTTTTATGTGCAACAAGTTAAAAACATTTGAAACATGAAAAAAGAAAAAAAACTATCTGCAATACACCATCAACTGCACTTTGATTTTAGTACAAATGACAAATGCTAACCCACTCAATAAGAATCAGTGTAAATAGAAACCATGAGGCATGTGAGGCCCAGAGACTAATCAGCCAGAGCACAGAGCAACCTCTGGTCGCTGAGGAACAATGTGTGTCCTCTGACAAGTTGCTAAAGGTTGTTGGAGGTAGCTGTGGAACTGGTTTTTAAACCCCATTCGATAGGTCTAGAGCCTGGTTAGTGACCTGCGGTTACTAGGGTTACTAAGTGTACTCTGCAACTGGCTGGCATGTGGTTGCTGGAGGTTGCTGGTAGCCACTAGAGTGTAAAGAGGTATATGGTGCTGAATCAAAAACCGGCTCAGCTCACCAAGCAGAAAGTTTGAAAAATGCAACGCAAACTAAAACAGAAAGTTTGCCTACAAAGTTAAAGTTGCACCCAAGCCCCAGTGTTTTCTCTTTGTGTTGGTTGCAGTGTTAAGGCCCAACATTTTCTCTGCAGGTGATTGTTCTCAACATTCATAAAGCTAAATGCTCCATTCCTGCAGACACCTGGAAATTGCATGGAGGTTGCAGACGTAACTGTTGCAATCTGCTGACGAAAGCAAATACAGGGAGGTTTTGGTGCATTGGAGGAAACCTCCAGCAACCACTCGCCAACTATTCAGGGAATATGGATTTTTCTCTAGCAAGCCGAGGTTGCAAGGGGGTCACTGACCAGCCTCATTTGAGCCACTGTTTGTTCCAAACACAGATGTGTTAGCATGGCTACAGACTTTGCAGCCTAGTCTGATGGCAAGGCGAGAAATAATCACAAAATTGCTACAAATAAAGAGGTTTTTTTTCTTCTTTAAAGTTTGGACAACTTTAGTTTTAAAACTAAAAGACACATTTTTGTGCCTGTACCACTTAGGTTCTAATGAGTAAAAATATAAATACTGTAAGTCCTGAGTGTCTGAAGGCAGTTTATATTGAAACTCCTGTCTGAAAGCACAGGGACAGCTGTGACTTGCGATTCATTGGGACATAAAGATTGCATGGTCATGGCTTTCTATCCAGGCACAGGACTCAATATATTACATCTTGCAAGCATTTCACAAACTGCTGTGAAATTTTTTTTGTACTATTTTATCTGTTTCCATCAGCTTTTTCACACGTATTTTGACAGTTGTGTGACGGTCAAAATATGTGTGAAACACTGCAGGAAATAATCAGCAGTAACCGTTTGCAGCAGTTGGAAAGGTTATCAGTGAGGTGCTTTTTGTTTTGTTTTTTTCTTAGAGAAAATGAGCAGTGACATGTTCATACATTAAAGACAGAAGCCGGAACACTAATCTTATTTCCAGAAGTTAAAACAGAAAGTCGCAGTAAAAGACGGGAACTGCAGCAGTGTGATTGACACGGACAGATGTCAGCTCCCTGATATATATTTTTTTGCAGGGGGGGATAAAAACTTGATGAAATGATGAGCTTCCAGCACCAACATCACACTTTTTAGTTCATGGAAAGAAGCAGCAGATTCAAGCTTCAAGGTATGTTGTGAAGAAGAACCCAGACTTACGTCAGATGCCATCATCCTCACTGACGTGCTTCAGAGCTGCACTCCTTCCACCTGGGGGCTATGAGCCTCTCAGTCGTTATACTTCTCAGTGCAGCACTTGAATTGACCTCCAACGACATTTTAATGGCCTCCTTTAACACAGAGGAGATCCCGCCAAGGCCTGTTTTCCAACATCTGATTGCTACATAGAAGCAATCAGGCTTGATTTGCCGCCAACGGGAAACACATGGTCTGTTTTATTGCAGAGAAAACGTACACGGTGCCAGCTGAGTGTGAGTGGCTGCAGCTTATGGAGGAAAGCTGAAACCAGATGATAATGACTCAACTTACTTATCTGTGGGAATGAAGGCTTTTAAGCCAGACCGATAACAACCACCTACTGCATTGGTGACAATGCAAACAAAGTCAGTATGATTTTTATAGCAAGCATAAAAATCCTGAAGGGACGATGGAGGGAAAACACTGGAAAGCACAAACTATGAAGACACAATATGGCAACATTAATGAGGCGGAAGGAGATTGGGAACAAAAACCACATTTATGCACCTAGTCCTATGGTGAAGTTGTTTAATATATTAGTTTGAGCCACTCGAAGAACTAAAAGTGTGCGCACAGTAAAACAGTCCTTTGTTAGAGCTCGAATGTACACAAACACACACAAGCACACACTGATGTTTACCTGACTTTCCCACCCCGGCTCTGCCGAAGACGGCCAGCTTCACCTCCGGGCTTTTGGCCATGACAGCAGCTGTGACGAGAGAAGCTCAGCGAGCCAGTCAGTGATCGCCGAGGTCAGCCCCAAACATCCTCCATCCAGGAAGCAGCGTCTGAGGAGACGAGGTAATGCGTCTACGTTTAGCTCCACGAAACATTCACGAAACATTTCCACCATCAGAAGTGAGTCACAGAGAAAGTGTTCAAGGAAGCAAGCAGAAGTAGCAGACTATGACTGAATGTGATGAAAAGGAAATAAATAGTTTTAGCAAATAAAATGAAATAATTCATACGTCAGTGTCACATCACTAGTTGCAAATAAATATAAAAACCTGATTTTATGTGGACACGGTTGCATAGATAACATGAAGATTGAGATGCTAGCAGCTCTTTTAAGAAGATGGCCACAAATTCAGGACCAAAGCATTTTCTCTCTTCCTTTTTTTTTTTGCAATTTTTGGTACTGAAAGGATCAAGTTCAGTCTAAAAATGAGTTCATTGTGTACAGGTTAAAGAAAATATCAGTAGAAAGGCTGATTCACTTACTCAAGAAATGAATGAAACGATGTGGAAACATGTCAGCTCTCAGTGGAAAAGAATCATGCGAGATTTCTACACTGATATGGACTTTGTAATGTGTTAGAAATGAAAAGATGCCACATCGTTTGATGGAAATGAAAATGATCAACATGCAGAGAGAGGGCTGAATTCAAAAGTCAAAGTGAAAGTGAAAAAAAGGAGAATACCAGGAAAGGAGATACCAGCTTTAAAACACTTTATTAATCCATCAGCAGTCACTGAGGATGAAATGCACACTGCAACCTTCCTGCAGCTGTCATCTATCTATGGAGCTTTAATCATCTGAAGGTGATGGCCCTCACACACCTCTCACTGTACCTCCACAGGAGAGAACCGATACAAATCACAAACCCACAAATCAGTGAGTTTTCCATTTCCAACAACATAGTGAAGTGAATGTTGGACAGTCATGTCCATCTTTTTTTTAGGCTGTTGAGCTACCCAGGCTATGGTTTTTTATGTTGGTGCATGAAAAATGTGAAGTGAAAAAGACAGGAGAGAGAGGGGGAGAACACCGAGATCTGAAATCATCCATTCAAAAGAAAACACCAGTACAGCCAGATGAAACAGCCACACGCCCGTCTGTTTTTAAGAAAACAAGCAGCTGTGGCGCTGTCTCTCCTGGTAATTGACTCTAAAGTTCTGGCCTGATCACTCTGTTTTTCTCCTGGATTCCACTCGGACCTTTAACCTGAGAACAAACAGATACTGACAAGGCTTTAATTCAAATCTTAGCTTGATGACTTCACAGCAATCCTGGGACAAACTAGCTGGAGACTGCTGTGTTTCCCATTAGCACCAATGCTGACAGAGAGAATGTAACACCCCAGGTCTATGTGGGGAGTCATGCTGTGTTTGGCTGGGCAGCTGCAGCTAAAGATAATTTTCATTTTTTCTCACTGCGCTGCAGTTTAGCGACGATGCATGCAGAAAAACATACAGCTTAGTCACAAATCTACTTAGGAAGCAAAGTTGTCGACATTATCTGTTTGCAAATCCTTTATTCTAATGTGCTGCAGTGCAGAGGTGCAGCTTGTCAACCACAAGCCACAGTTAAAGGTGCAGTAGGTGGGAAGGGGCTACCTTTATTTTTCAGCCTGTCTGTCTTTGGACACTTCAACACATGGACGCTGAAGTAATCACTATTCCTGTATACCTGCCACCCGTGCAATGATACTCAAAGTAAGATCTTGGCTTGCTGTAGGAACCAAGATCTCCAGCTCTCAGTCACCTGATGCCAGTGATCAGGAGGAGTGACGCCTCAGTTAATCCTGCTGTGTGTTAGTCAGCTTTGATACAACATGAGGTGAAAAAACTCTGGCAAGTGACAGTCTCCCCAGTTACTCAAAGGTCAGACTGTGCCATGCTCAGAGAAAGTGTAATAAGCCAAGAGCTACATCTCAGACTCTACGGGCCTCAGTCAGCATGTTGAATGTTAAAGTCCATGACAGTAGAATTAGAAAAACACTGAGCAAGTGTGGCTTTTTTGGAAGGTTTTACGGAACATAGGGTCAGAACATGTCAACACAGCTTAGTTTGCAAACTTCGATCTGAACAAATCATAAGGCTTATGGATCAGTGGCGTTGGGACACATGAAACTAAAGTGGTAATAATTCAATTCAATTTTATTTATACAGCGTGAAATCACAGCAACAATCACCTCAAGGCGCTTTATATTGTAAGATAGACGCTACAATAATACATACAGAGAAAAACCCAACAATTATATGACCCCCTATGAGCAAGCACTTTGGCGACAGTGGGAAGGAAAAACTCCCTTTTAACAGGAAGAAACCTCCAGCGGAACCAGGCTCAGGGAGGGGCGGGGCCATCTGCTGTGATTGGTTGGGGTGAGAGAAGGAAGACAGGATAAAAGACATGCTGTGGAAGAGAGACGGAGGTTAATAACAGATATGATTCAATGCAGAGAGGTCTGTTAACACATAGTGAGTGAAGAAGAAACACCTAGTGCATCATGGGAATCGCCGAGCAGCCTACACCTATTGCAACATAACTAAGGGAGGATTCAGGGTCACCTGGTCCAGCCCTAACTATATGCTTTAGCAAAAAGGAAAGTTTGAAGCCTAATCTTGAAAGTAGAGATAGTGTCTGTCTCCTGAATCCAAACTGGAAGCTGGTTCCACAGAAGAGGGGCCTGAAAACTGAAGGCTCTGCCTCCCATTCTACTTTTAAATACTCTAGGAACAACAAGTAGGCCTGCAGAGCGAGAGCGAAGTGCTCTAATAGGGTGATATGGTACTACAAGGTACTGCAATAATATTGCACAGCACCACAATTAGCAAGAAACACAAAGATCTCATGCCAGGTGTCCAGCACGGTGGTGGAGGGGTGATGATTTGAGCTTGTTCTGCACCTACAAGACCTGGGCACCTTGCAGTCCCCGAGCCACCCACGAACTCCTCCGTACACCAAGTATACGAGAGTCAAATGTGTGGCCAACAGCTAAACCCTGGATCATGCAATACGACAATGATCCCAAGCAGAGCAGCAAATCTACAACAGAATGATGTTGAACAGGCAGATGTCAAGAGACAACAGTAATTTGTTCTGTGAATTATTTTTAAATGTACACTCTAATTTAACACCACATAACTTTGCCGTTCAGTAATTAAGACAGCCATTTATAGCGTGCTGAAGTTTGTCAGCCAAGTTTTTGAACAGATTTATCGTCAGTCACCGTTGTGTACATTACATGAAGCACAGACTGGACTGGACTTCTCGCTCTTTGTTGGCTGAAATGAGCTACAGCAGGAAAATGAGAGAAAGCTGAAACCGGATCACACGTTCGTGTGCCCAGTTAAATAAAAGCTGTGCTTGGTTAATATGTTGCTGGCACTGACACACACCCAACTTCACACTGGCTGAAATTATTAAGTGGCCAGCATCCAGTTTTCTTCTCCTTTACTCCAGGCAGACGCTTAAACACACACATATGTTTTAAACTAACCTTTTCCCCTTCATAGCAACACACATATGTCTATATATGGTGTGACAGCGTGCCACTCTGTGTGACCCAAGTGGAGATCGATCATCTGTCTACGTCTCCTACTCGGCGGGTGGTGTCACGGCAGCTGCCAGCATCTTTAAATATTTGTTTCGGTCATTGCTGATGTGGCTCCGATAACCACACAGCACAGTCAAAGCAGTGAGCAAAACCGCTGCTGTAATAGCAATAATGACGTTGTGTTCTGTCCTCCCAGCTAAGTTTGTGGTGTTTGGCAGTTTCGAGGACAAAGATGAATGACTGAGTTTAACCCTGAGTGGCATTCTCCCACTGTTCAAGTTTGAAACGTGTCATTACATCTCCAACCAATATTAATATCACTGCCTCGGTGATGCAACCTTTATTTCCTGAGTGCTTAGAATGAATGAAACTGCCACATTTAAACAGTCATTAAGGCTGGGTCTAAAATCAAGTCACAGACTCCCATGTCTTTAAGACAGAGGAAGCATGTTTACAACCTGGTTTAAAACAAACAGTATAGGGGTACATTTTTCACATGACCCACCCAATTAAATGCTATTAAGGCTTAAAGTTCTGATTAAGTGTGTGGCTGCTTTTAGAGACAGGCCAGTTCATCTTGTTTAGTCTTTGTTTTAAAGGACACTCTGAGCAGTTGGCTGGTTAGTTGCTCCAGTAAACAACGTGTCGACACAGCACTCACATCAAGGCTTTAAAACGGGACATGTCTGTGAAGGTTCTCAGTCATCCAGGTCATCGTAGTCAAAGGAGCTTGCAAAGAAAAGCGTCTGGACTTCTTTAAGTTGCTTGAAGACATTTCACCTCTCATCCGAGAAGCTTCTTCAGTTCTAAGGTCAAATGGTGGAGAGTCCCAGATATAAACCTAGTGGGAGTGACCCCCCACAGAGGGACAAAAGGACCCCCTGATGATCCTCTAATCGCCTGAGCCAAGGTGGGAAACTGGGCGTGGGTCCCAATCAGCCAGAGTTTCGGGTGTGTTCATTGTGAAACCTGGCCCCACCTTATCATGCGAATTCCTGAGGTCAGATGGCCCAGGATGTGAGTGGGCGTTAAGGCGTCTGGGAAGGGATCTCAAAACTGGATTATAGATGGCAGAGAGTTGGTGTCGTAAACCCCCGCCTCTGTTCAAAGATGGTCGCTCACAGTGGACATAGATGCTTCTTTCACTCCTCTTTCAAACCATCTGTCCTCTCTGTCCAAAATGTGAACATTGGCATCCTCAAAGAGTGTCCTTTATCCTTAAGATGCAGATGGACTGCTGAGTCTTGTCCTGTGGAGGTGGCTCTTCTGTGTTGTGCCATGTGCTTGTGAAGTGGCTGTTTGGTCTCTCCAATGTCTGAGCATTCCTCGCTGCACTGTACAGCATACACCACATTGCTAAGTTTGTGTTTTGGCGTTTTGTCTTTCGGGTGAACCAGTTTCTGTCTGAGCGTGTTGCTGGGTCTGAAATACACTGGGATGTCATGCTTGGAGAAAACTCTCCTGAGTTTCTCTGATACACCGGCTACATAGGGGATGACAATGTTGTT